ATTATTATTATTATTATTATTATTATTATTATTATTATTATTATTATTATTATTATTATTATTATTATTATTACAATGGGATGCAAGATAGGACAACCCAGAGATGGACCACGAAGAGCTGCAATTTATGGAAATAAGTGCAATACGCTACGAAGAATACAAATTAAAATTGATCATTTAAGAGGAGACTTAAAAAGAATAAATAAGTACATTGAAGGTAATCCTACAAGAAGACTTAAAAACATGATCAATAAGATATTAAAGGCATACAATATTCACACACGCTACGAAACAAATCACACGAATATTATTAACACAAGAGACACAATAAAACAGAAACTATGTGTACAAGTAGCGAGACAGCGTAAATACAAGTTATCGAATCAAAGACGAGAAAACAATAGACTCTTTAACAGCAACGAAAAGCAATTCTATAGAAAAATACGATCCAATGCCAATACGTCAGACGACGTATATCCAAGTAAGAATGGTGCAGAAAATTACTGGAGTTCACTGTGGTCCAATACACAAAAACATAATGAATCCGCTCATTGGATTGAAAAAGAGAAAGAGAAATATCAAGAAAAAAAAATGTCAACTTGTCTAATTACATGTGATCAGGTCAAACGAATTATAGCAAAAACACACAACTGGAAATCTCCTGGACCAGATCACATACAAAACTTTTGGTTTAAAAGATTTACTGCAGTCCATCAAAAATTAACTGAACTTTTAAATGAATGTCTACAAAACCCCGCAACATTTCCAATCATTTTTACGAAAGGAAAAACATATCTAATGGCGAAGAATAATGGATTTAAAGGAAACCCAGCAAATGGCCGTCCAATTACTTGCCTCCCATCGATATATAAGATACTGACTGCTTGTATTAGCGATCTTATAAATACATACCTTACACAAAACGATATTATGTGCGTAGAACAGAAGGGATGCAAAAAACACGCAAAAGGATGTAAAGAACAACTAATAATTGACCAAATAATATTGGAACAGCAGCTAAGAAAAATAGAAACCTGCACATGTGCTTTATTGATTACATGAAGGCTTTCGATAGTGTCCCGCACAGTTGGCTGATTGAAGTCCTGAATATATACGGTATTCATTCAACTATTGTTAATTTTCTTGAACACAACATGACGAGATGGCGAACAAACATAGAAATGTTCACTCAAAATGGTGTCATACGAACAGATGAAATAAGTATTCGACAAGGAATTTTTCAGGGTGACTGCCTGTCAGCCTTGTGGTTTTGTATGGCGCTAAATCCGCTAAGTAATCTCTTAAGGAACGCAAAGTATGGCTTCAAAATTAAAGGCAATTCTCGAGAATGTAAAATAAATCATCTCATGTATATGGATGATTTAAAGATATGTGCTTCGAAGCGAGAAACCTTAGATAAGCTTATTAAAATAGTCGAGGACTTCAGCAATGACATTAGAATGAAGTTTGGCATTGAAAAATGCAAAAAAATCAGTATTGTTCGTGGAAAAATCGTTAAATTCGAAAATATTGAGCAAAACGAATCGATTATTAAAGACATGGAAGAAGACGAACTGTACAAATATCTTGGTGTATCTCAAAGCAGAAGAATAGCACACAAAGCTTTAAAAGACAAAGTATATAGTGAATTTAAAGGACGTATTCATAAAATTGCCAAGACGAATCTGCAGGGTAAATCTTTGATAAAAGCCATCAATACTTTTGCTATTCCCATTCTGACTTATTGTTTCGGAATAATGCAATGGACAACGACTGAGATACAAGCGATGCAGCGAAAAATACGAACTATGCTCACAGAATACAAATTCCACCATCCAAAGTCATGTTGTGAGCGAATGACTATGCCTAGAAAGGAAGGAGGTAGAGGCCTTATTGATCTACAAGAACTACACGACAATCAAATTATATCAATGAGAGAATATTTTTTTAAAGAACGCAGAAAATGATATCTTGTTTAAAATTTTAACCGAGGCAGACAAGCATTACACACCATTAAATTTGGAAGGAACTTTTGAAAGAAACACAAGATCGACAGTGTAAAGAGCAAGCTTGGGCAATCAAACCGCTACATGGAAGATATTATAGATCCACTAACGCCGACAATGTCGATTAAATTATGTCGCACAAATGGCTTACATGTGGAACACCATTTGCTGAAACTGAGGCATTCATGATTGCAATACAGGATCAAGTAGTTCCGACAAGAAATTACTGCAAATTTATAATGTCAGACCCTTCGCTAATTAGTGATAAATGTCGGCAATGTGGAGAACAAACGGAAACTGTAGATCACATACTGGCAGGATGTACATGCTTAGCACAAAGAGAGTATACAAAGAGACACAATAACGTGGTTAATATTTTACATAAGCAAATATACAATAAATATAGACTTATTGATAGAGAAAATGTTCCATACTATAAGTATACACCACAAGCAGTATATGATAATCCAGACGTAAAAATTTATTACGATCGAACTATTTATTCCGATCACACGAGGTTGCACAATAGACCAGATACAACTATTGTTGATAAAAGACGTCGAGAAGGACTCTTCATTGATGTTGCAATACCAATGACCAAAAACATGGATCGTACTTATTTTGAGAAATGTAGTCGATACGCAGAATTAGCTGTGGAAACAAAACGTAATTGGAACCTTAACAAAATTGAAATTCTTCCAATTATAATTAGTGCTGAAGGTGTAACGCCAAAAAGATTCTTGTCGCATATCCGAAGACTTGAATTAAACCAGCGAATTATTGATGACATCCAGAAAAGTGTAATAATTGATTCCTGTCATATTACTCGCAAATTTTTAAATATTAATTAATATGAAATCAATCAAATCAAATACTAGTCAAAATAGTTTAAATAAATATATAGATGATGTGATATATTTTGTACTGGCTTAGGCCACCAAAACTTACCAAAAAACCCATTAAGAAGAATTAAATAAAAATAATAATAATAATAATAATAATAATAATAATAATAATAATAATAATAATAAATAATAATATAATAATATAATAATAATAATAATAATAATAATAATAATAATA